TCGCGGGGTGGTGCGCATTGTATGGGTGTGTGTTACATTACATTCACTAGTAGGAGTGAGAAAAACATCACGGGGTGGTGTGAATCGGAGGGTATGAATTAGGATAGGCAGTGAGTGGCAATGTAGGATGGAGAAAAGCACCGTCGGGTGGTCTGCATGGGGAGGTCAGGGAATATGCAGTGGCAAAGTAGGATAGGTTTCTGAAAAACATCGCGGGGTGGTGCGCATTGTACGGGTGTATAACATTACATTCACTAGTAGAAATGAGAAAAACATCGCGTGGTGGTGCGCATTGTATTGGTGTGTGTTACATTACATTCACTAGTAGGAGTTAGAAAACATCACGGGGTGGTGCGCATTGTATGGGGGTGTGTTACATTACATTCACTAGTAGGAGTGAGAAAATCATCACGGGGTGGTGTGAATCGGAGGGTCTGAATTAGGATAGGCAGTGAGTGGCAATGTAGGATGGAGAAAACCACGCGGGGTGGTCAGCATGGGGAGGTCAGGGAACAAACAGTGGCAATGTACGCTAGGTTTGTGAAAAACATCGCGGGGTGGTGCGCATCGTATGGGTGTGTGTTACATTACTTTCACTATTAGGAGTGAGAAAAACATCACGGGGTGGTGCGCATTGTATGGGTGTGTGTTACATTACATTCACTAGTAGGAGTGAGAAAAACATCAGGGGTGGTGTGAATCGGAGGGTCTGAATTAGGATAGGCAGTGAGTGGCAATGTAGGATGGAGAAAAGCACCGCTGGGTGGTCAGCATGGGGAGGTCAGGGAACATGCAGTGGCAATGTAGGATAGGTTTCTGAAAAACATCGCCGGGTGGTGCGCATTGTACGGGTGTGTGTTACATTACATTCACTAGTAGGTGTGAGAAAACATCACGTGGTGGTGTGAATCGGAGTGTCTGAGTTAGGATAGGCAGTGAGTGGCAATGTAGGATGGAGAAAAGCACCGCGGGGTAGTCAGCATGGGGAGGTCTGGGAACATGCAGTGGCAATGTAGGATAGGTTTCCGAAAATCATCGCGGGGTGGTGCGCATTGTATGGGTGTGTGTTACATTACATTCACTAGTAGTAGTGAGAAAAACATCACGGGGTGGTGCGCATTGTATGGGTGTGCGTTACATTACATTCACTAGTAGGAGTGAGAAAAACATCACGGGGTGGTGTGAATCAGAGGGTCTGAGTTAGGATAGGCAGTGAGTGGCAATGTAGGATGGAGAAAAGCACCGCGGGGTGGTCAGCATGGGGAGGTCAGGGAACATGCTGTGGCAATGTAGGATAGGTTTCTGAAAAACATCGCGGGGTGGTGCGCATTGTATGGGTGTGTGTTACATTACATTCACTAGTAGGAGTGACAAAAACATCACGGGGTGGTGTGAATCGGAGTGTCTGAATTAGTGTAGGCAGTGAGTGGCAATGTAGGATGGAGAAAAGCACCGAGGGGTGGTCAGCATGGGGAGGTCAGGGAACATGCAGTATCAATGTAGGATAGGTTTCTGAAAAACATCGCGGGGTGGTGCGCATTGTATGTGTGTTTTACATTACATTCACTAGTAGGAGTGAGAAAAACAGCACGGGGTGGTGTGAATCGGAGGGGCTGAATTAGGATAGGCAGTGAGTGGCAATGTAGGATGGAGAAAAGCACCGCGGGGTGGTCAGCATGGGGAGGTCAGGGAACATGCAGTGGCAATGTGGGATAGGTTTCTGAAAAACATCGCGGGGTGCAGCGCATTGTATGTGTGTGTAATATTACATTCACTAGTAGGAGTGAGAAAAACATCGCGGGGTGGTGCGCATTGTATGGGTGTGTTTTACATTACATTCACTAGTAGGAGTTAGAAAAACATCTCGGGGTGGTGCGCATTGTATGGGTGTGTGTTACATTACATTCACTAGTAGGAGTGAGAAAAACATCACGGGGTGGTGTGAATTGGAGCGTCTGAATTAGGATACGCAGTGAGTGGTAATGTAGGATGGAGAAAAGCACCGCGGGGTGGTCAGAATGGGGAGGTCAGGGAACATGCAGTTGCAATGTAGGATAGGTTTCTGAAAAACATCGCGGGGTGGTGCGCATTTTATGGGTGTGTGTTACATTACATTCACTAGTTTGCGTGAGAAAAACATCGGGCGGTGGCGCGCATTGTATGGGTGTGTGTTACATTACATTCACTAGTAGGAGTGAGAAAAACATCAAGGGGTTGTGCACATTGTATGGGTGTGTGTTACTTTACATTCACTAGTAGGAGTGAGAAAAACATCACGGGGTGGTGTGAATCGGAGGGTCTGAATTAGGATAGGCAGTGAGTGGCAATGTAGGATGGAGAATAGCACCGCGTGGTGGTCAGCATGGAGAGGTCAGGGAACATGCAGTGGCAATGGAGGATAGGTTTCTGAAAAACATCACGGGGTGGTGCGCATTGCATGGGTGTGTGTTACATTACATTCACTAGTAGGAGTGAGAAAAACATCACGGGGTGGTGTGAATCGGATGGTCTGAATTAGGATAGGCAGTGAGTGGCAATGTAGGATGCAGAAAAGCACCGCGGGGTGGTCAGCATGTGGAGGTCAGGGAACATGCAGTGGCAATGTAGGATAGGTTTCAGAAAAACATCGCGGGGTAGTGCGCATTTTATGGGTGTGTGTTACATTACATTCACTAGTAGAAGTGAGAAAAACATCGCGGGGTGGCGCGCATTGTATGGGTGTGTGTTACATTACATTCACTAGTAGGAGTGAGAAAAACATCAAGGGGTGGTGTGAATCGGAGGGTCTGAATTAGGATAGGCACTGATTGGCATTGTAGGATGGAGAAAAGCCCAGCGGGGTGGTCAGCATGGGGAGGTCAGGGAACATGCAGTGGCAATGTAGGATAGGTTTCTGAAAAACATCGCGGAGTGGTGCGCATTGTATGGGTGTGTGTTACATTACATTCACTAGTAGGAGTGAGAAAAACATCACGGGGGTTTTATTCGGAGGGTCTGCATTAGGATAGGCAGTGAGTGGCAATGTAGGATGGAGAAAAGCACCGCGGGGTCGTCAGCATGTGGAGGTCAGGGAACATGCAGTGGCAATGTAGGATAGGTTTCTGAAAAACATTGCGGGGTGGTGCGCATTGTATGGGAGTTTGTTACATTACATTCAATAGTAGGAGAGAGAAAAATATCACGGGGTGGTGCGCATTTTATGGGTGTGTGTTACATTACATTCACTAGTAGGAGTGAGAAAAACATCACGGGGTGGTGCGCATTGTATGGGTGTGTGTTACTTTACATTCATTAGTAGGAGTGAGAAAAACATCACGGGGTGGTGTGAATCGGAGTGTCTGAATTAGGATAGGCAGTGAGTGGCAATGAAGGATGGAGAAAAGCACCGGGGGGTGGTCAGCATGGGGAGGTCAGGGAACACGCAGTGGCAATGTAGGATAGGTTTCTGAAAAACATCGCGGGGTGTTGCGCATTGTTTGGGTGTGTGTTAGATTACACTCACTAGTAGGAGTGAGAAAAACATCGCGGGTTGGTGTGCATTGTATGGGTGTGTGTTACATTACATTCACTAGTTGTAGTGAGAAAAACATCACGGGGTGGTATGAATCGGAGGGTCTGAATTAGGATAGGCAGTGAGTGGCAATGTAGGATGGAGAAAAGCACCGCGGGGTGGTCAGCAAGGGGAAGGCAGGGAACATGCAGGGGCAATGTAGGATAGGTTTCTGAAAAACATGGCAGGGTGGTGCGCATTGTACGGGTGTGTGTTACATTACATTCACTAGTAGGAGTGAGAAAAACGTCACGGGGTTGTGTGATTCGGAGGGTCTGAATTAGGATAGGCAGTGAGTGGCAAGGTAGTATGGAGAAAAGCACCGCGGGGTGGTCAGCATGGGGAGGTCATTGAACATGCCGTGGCAATGTAGGATAGGTTTCTGAAAAACATCGCGGGGTGGTGCGCATTGTACGGGTGTGTGTTACATTACATTCACTAGTAGGAGTGAGAAAAACGTCACGGGGTTGTGTGATTCGGAGGGTCTGAATTAGGATAGGCAGTGAGTGGCAAGGTAGTATGGAGAAAAGCACCGCGTGGTGGTCAGCATGGGGAGGTCAGGGAACATGCAGTGGCAATATAGGATAGGTTTCTGAAAAACATCGCGGGGTGGTGCGCATTGTATGGGTGTGTGTTACATTACATTCACTAGTAGGAGTGAGAAAAACATCACGGGGTGGTGTGAATCGGAGGGTCTGAAGTACGATAGATTGTGAGTGGCATTGTATGATGGAGAAAAGCCCCGCGGGGTGGTCAGCATGGGGAGGTCAGGGAACATGCAGTGGCAATGAAGGATAGGTTTCTGAAAAACATGGCGGGGTGGTGCGCATTGTATGGGTGTGTGTTACATTACATTCACTAGTAGGAGTGAGAAAAACATCACGGGGTGGTGTGAATCGGAGGGTCTGAATTAGGATAGGCAGTGAGTGGCTATGTAGGATGGAGAAAAGCACCGCGGGGTGGTCAGCATGGGGAGGTCAGGGAACATGCAGTTTCAATGTAGGATAGGTTTCTAAAAAACATCGCGGGGTGGTGCGCATTGTATGGGTGTGTTTTACATTACATTCACTAGTAGGAGTGAGAAAAACATCGCGGGGTGGTGCGCATTGTATGGGTGTGTGTTACATTACATTCACTAGTAGGAGTGAGAAAAACATCACGGGGTGGTGCACATTGTATGGGTGTGTGTTACTTTACATTCACTAGTAGGAGTGAGAAAAACATCACGGGGTGGTGTGAATCGGAGGGTCTGAATTAGGATAGGCAGTGAGTGGCAATGTAGGATGGAGAATAGCGCGGCGGGGTGGTCAGCATGGAGAGGTCAGGGAACATGCAGTGGCAATGGAGGATAGGTTTCTGAAAAACATCGCGGGGTGGTGCGCATTGCATGGGTGTGTGTTACATTACATTCACTAGTAGGAGTGTGAAAAACATCACGGGGTGGTGTTGGGAGCTCGACCGAGTGATATGAGGCCTGTGGTGAGGAGTGAAGCCTGAGCTAGATTGCCCCTCCCGTCGACCGAGTGATATGAGGCCTGTGGTGAGGAGTGAAGCCTGAGCTAGATTGCCCCTCCCGTCGACCGAGTGATATGAGGCCTGTGGTGAGGAGTGAAGCCTGAGCTAGATTACCCCTCCCATCGAGTATGCCAAGATGGCGCCCATTTCCTGCTCCCTAGCTAGTAAACAACACGCCCTGTAAGCTAGTCTGCCCAGCAACAGCTGACGCTGGCCAATCAGCTCGTCTTGCCTACTTTGATGTGATTGGTCGATGTGTCCATATATATGCTGACACCACCCCTGGGGCGAGAACACACACACCAAGAAGAGGGACTGCTGAGAGAAGCACACAAGGAGCCGTAGGGAACGGACCAGAGGAGGCTTCCCTCAGGCGGGATCCGAGATCCCGGAACAGGGCGTACGGAGAGAGAAAATAAATCAGAGGCTATCCGCCGACTACTCGTGTCGTGTGTTTTTTCCTGCCGGCCGGGATCGACACCGACATTTGGTGGCCCGTACGGGGAACTGATCACCCCCGAGGCGAGGCGGACGACGCTCCAGTATTGCTCTGCAGGACAGGTGAGTAGGGGATAAACCTGGGCTCTGGGTGGCGCGCACCTACAGGGCTTTTTAGACTCCCCTCAAGCTCACGTGTATGTGGCAGGTTAGCCTCACACGGTGAGAACGGACTCCTCAGTGACAGGCATGGGCAACTTACCCACTAAGAGTTCCAAGTCACTGGTAAGAGCGGTGAAAGACCTGCTCAAGATTTCAGGTATATCAATGAGCTCCAAGACACTTACGGAGTTTCTCCAACAAGTAGATGAGGCGGCACCCTGGTTCCTGCCGACGGGGCACTTGTCCCTACCTTGCTGGGAGAAATTAGGTAAGGATTTAGAAAGAGCAGAAGAGGAGCGCCGACTCCCACTTTCGGTTCGGCCGCTCTGGGAGATGATTCATTCATGCCTCAAAGGGGAGAGGAATGGGGCTAAGGATAGCGCAGATGGGCTCTCTCAGGCCCGCCGAGCTTTTGAAGGGGCCCGTTCGGAGTCCTCCCGAGAGGGGTCCGTCGCAGGGAGCGTGCGGAGGCGCTCGCGAGAGCGAGGCAAGAGAGAGGTACCCCCTGCCTCGGATTCCTCGGGCTCAGATACCTCGGAAGGCGAGGACAATGAGGCAAGTGACCCCCCTAATCCCTTTGCAGCTTTACGTAGAGACCTAGTCAAGATGCAGACAGACCTAGAGAAGGGAAGGAAACTCCTGAGCACTCCCCAACGGAAAGCCGTAGAGCCTTCCGCGCCACCCTGGGAGGTCCCAAACACCGGTTCCTGTGGTGAGATGGCGGCCTGGGGCCATCCTCCGTCACCCCCCCCATGGAGGGAGTGGCCTGGACCGTTGTCACATGTAGGGCCACCATCTTGTCTGCCTGGCGACCCGCCATCTTGTGCCCCAAAGACTGGTCGGCCATGTTACAAAGAGATACAATTTTGTGATAGGGAGGGACAGACATCTCATGGGGAGGCACCACCCTGTGAAAAAATGCCAAGGTCCCAGGGAAGGTATTTTCGTAGATGGACATTTAGAATGGAACAGATTCCTCAAGGGGCGAATGAGTATGAACAATGTGGGCTTTATCCGGTGCTCCTAGCGCAAGGCCAAGGACCCAATTACTGGGAACCACTGGAGATCAAGCAAATTAAGGAGCTTAAAAATGCGGTTGCCACATTTGGCCCTACTGCTCCTTACACTATAACTATGTTGGAGAATTTGTCTGCCGGTGGCTTTCTGACGCCCAGTGATTGGACCCAACTGGCTAAAGCCTGCCTGGCCCCCGGGGCTTTTCTGGATTGGCGCGCCTGGTATACTGAGTTTGCCGCCGAACAGGCTGAAAAAAAATGCGGCTAGGGGCCATAGGGGGCAAAATGAGGATATGCTTATGGGTAAGGGTCAGTACGCTCAAGATCAAACTAGATTCCCTCCAAATGTGTATGAACAGATACATAACATAGGCATCTGCGCCTGGAAGCAGGTAAACAACACAGGGGTGGCCTCACAATGCCTCTCTAAAATTGTTCAGGGCAACACAGAACCTTTTGTGGATTTTGTGGCCAGAATGCAGGAGGCAGCTGACAGACTCTTTTCAGATCCGAGTGCTGCTGCTCCTCTTATTAAACAGTTAATCTTCGAACAGTGCACCAAGGACTGCAGGGCAGCCATAGCACCCCATAAAGGTAAAAACATAGAGGCGTGGATTAAAATTTGTAGAGAAATAGGGGGGCCATTATCCAACTCAGGCGTGGCTGCCCTTTTAGCCGCCGCCTTACAACAGACAGGGCCTCAGAAGACCAATCACCCTGGTAAGCCCAGGGGATGTTTCCAGTGTGGGGATCCCAGCCATATAAGGAAAAACTGCCCCAAGACCGGACAGGGGGAGTTTATATCCAAGAGACAGGAATCAGACAGACGAACGGGAACCTGCGAAAGGTGCGGTAAAGGTTCTCACAAAGCAAAAGATTGCAGATCTATTTTTGATGCCCAGGGGAACCGTATTAGTGGCAGGGAGACTACGGAGCCAAAAAACGGCCAGAGGGGGCCCTCCTTACGGACGGGCCCCCACTCCCTAGACAGGACAACACAAGATGGCACCCCCCCACAGGGGCCACCCCCGGGCCGGCAGGCGTGGACCTCTGTGTCGCCTCCAGACTCCTATTAACACCCGATATGGGCGTTCAGGTGGTTGAAACCACCTCCAAAGGACCACTACCCGACAAGCTAGTTGGTTTAGTGATTGGACAGTCCTCCACAGCCCTCCGGGGCCTTACCGTGATCCCTGGAGTTGTAGACCCAGATTATTTAGGAAACATCAAAATCATGGTACAATCTCATATAGGGACCATAGTAATTGATGAAGGGGATAAGATAGCACAACTTTTACTGTTCCCCAGTCTCCATGAGAGACCCCGGTCCGGTCAACGGGTTAGAGGGGGTCAGGGACTTGGCTCCTCTAAGGAAATTTTTGAAGGACTTCATATGACTCTTGATAAAAGGCCCATGCTATCGCTCAGGATTAACGGAAAAAAGATAACAGGACTCCTAGATACAGGGGCAGACCGTTCCATCGTCTCCAAGAAAGACTGGCCCCCTAGTTGGCCTACCAACACAGCTGACAACACACTCCAAGGATTGGGGATAGTGGCTGCCCCCCAGGTTAGTGCCGTGACCCTGCCTTGGGGTGATGAGGAAGGTCACCGAGGACATTTTCAACCTTTTGTCTTGCAGCTGCCAGTATCCTTGTGGGGAAGAGACGTTCTCACCCAGATGGATGTCACTCTTACATCCACCTGCTCTCCCCAAGCCAAAGGGATACTCAAAAATCAGGGATATGTCCCCGGCAAGGGCCTGGGCGCAGCCCTGCAGGGCCGGACATCCCCCGTACCTGTAGAAAAAAGGGAAGGTAGACACGGGTTGGGTTTTTCCTAGGGGTCACTGAGAAACTTCTCCTGCCCGCTCCAATTAAGATCACCTGGAAATCTCAAAATCCAGTTTGGGTGCCTCAGTGGCCCTTACCCAAGGAGAAGCTTTTAGCATTAACTGAGATAGTCAAAACCCAGTTTCAGGCGGGACACGTAAAGCCGTCAACCTCCCCTTGGAATACCCCTGTCTTTGTTATCAGGAAAAAATCAGGCAAGTGGAGGCTGCTCCATGATCTGAGGGCTGTCAACTCACAGATGCAGCCCCTGGGGGCGATCCAGAGGGGACTACCAGCCCTCTCAGCCATCCCTCGGTCCTGGCCAGTCTATGCCATAGATCTTAGAGACTGTTTTTTCTCAATCCCCCTGCATCCAGAGGACACCCACAGATTCGCCTTTACCCTACCCACCATTAACCAAGAGAGTCCTGATCAGAGATACGAGTGGGTTACATTACCCCAGGGTATGGCCAACAGTCCCACCATGTGTCAGATGTATCTTGATTTGCTACTGGCCCCCTTGCGTGAAGCCTTCCCCAGAATTAGATGTATTCATTACATGGATGATTTGCTAATCAGTGCAAAAGATGTGACTGAGTTGGAGGATATGCTTGGCCAATTGGTCAGGGCCCTGAGAAAGGCAAATTTACATATTGCCCCTGACAAGATTCAGGGAGGAGACATAGTGACCTACCTGGGCACCAAAGTCTCCCCCACATCGATTTCTCCACAAAAGGTAACCATCAGAACAGATAGCCTAAGGACCTTGAATGACATGCAAAAGCTACTGGGAGATATAAACTGGATCAGACCTTATTTACACATCCCTAACTCGGACTTAAAGCCCCTGTTCGACCTCCTGAAAGGAGACCCGGATATTGCCTCCCCCAGGGAGTTCACCCCGGAAGCCAGAGTTGCTCTGAGAAAGATAGAGGAAGCCCTAAGTACAGCTGCATTGCGGAGAATTGACTCAGAACAGCCTTTTGAGGTCTGCTTGTTGCAGACCGTTTCTCAACCTACGGCAGTGATTTGGCAAAAGGGACCACTTTTGTGGGTGCACCCTAAGGTCTCACCTGCCAAGATTATCGAACATTATCCGGAAACGGTCGCTTCCCTGGCCTTGGAGGCACATGGCAGGGCTATCCAACATTTTGGCTCTGCACCCCATGCTATTCGGGTACCTTATACCGCTTCTCAAATAAAAATCCTGACTGCTTGTATAGATACGTGGGCCATCCTGAGATGTGTTTTTCTTGGGGAGATAGACAACCAGTTCCCCAGGGACCCCATACTACAGTTTGTTACTCAACATCCGGTGATATTTCCAAAAATCACCGCGTCCACACCACTTACTCCTGCAACAACGATCTATACGGACGGGTCAAAAACCGGGATAGGGGCTTATGTGGTCTCAGGTATGCCTCCGATCAGCATACAATTTGAACCAGATCAACCACAGGTGGTAGAGTTACAAATTGTACAAACCGTCCTCGAGAAGTTCCCAGGGGCCCTTAATATTGTTTCTGATTCAAAATACGTTGTTAATGCCATGCAGGTCCTTGAGACTGCGGGCCCGATTAAGCCAACCTCCAAAGTGACTAATTTGTTTTTGTCTATCCAGACTCTGCTGATAAATAGACACAACAAAATATACATCACTCACATAAGAGCACATACGCGCCTGCCAGGGCCCATGGTACAGGGCAATGCGGCAGCTGACGTGGCCACTCGCCCGTTGTGGATACTCAATATGTTATCTTCAATAGAACAAGCCCGTCTGTTTCATGACAGATTTCATGTCAACGCCAGGACGTTAGCCAACCAGTACCACATTTCCAGGGCTGACGCGCGGGACATCGTACGGTTATGCGGCTCTTGCGCCACATACACACCCGTCGTATCAACGGGAGTTAACCCCAGGGGATTGATTCCTGGCGACACTTGGCAAATGGATGTCACACATATGATAGAATTCGGATCTCTTAAATATGTTCATGTCTCTACGGACACCTGCTCTCATATTATATTTGCGACTGCTGAAACTGGCGAAAAGGTGTCTCATGTAATCAATCATTGCCTGACAGCTTGGGCCGCATGGGACAAACCAAAAATATTAAAAACTGATAATGGACCAGCTTATACAAGCAGAGCCTTTAATGAGTTCTGTGAAAAAATGGGGGTACAATTAAAACATGGCATCCCATACAATCCCCAAGGTCAAGGAATTATTGAAAGGGCTCATAGGAGCCTTAAAGATATTCTACAAAAACAAAAAGGGGGAATAAGTCAGGGCCTGCCCCCAAAGGCACGGCTCTCCATGGCACTGTTCACATACAATTTTCTGAACCTGAATAACAACAATCACTCCCCGGCCATGGAACATTGTAATCCATCTCCTGGCAATAGGGGATGGGTGAAATGGAAAGATGTCCTGACGGGACAATGGATGGGCCCGGATCCAGTAGTTAGCTGGAACCGAGGTGCGGTTTGTGTTTTCCCGCAGGAACCAGGACGAGAACCATTGTGGGTCCCAGAACGGCTGACGCGTGTGGCGAATCCAACGAAACATAATGCAGGAGACACTCCAAAACTCAACGGCAGCGGACAGCCTAATCAAGATCGGTCCGACCAGGATATTGCTGCTCGACCGAGGAATACCGTATGACTTATGGGACACAGTAATGATTATGCTCTCGATAGTAATTGGCTCTCTTTTAGGGTACGGTGCAGCCAGAGTGGCTAGGCCACGCCGCCTTCCGGCAGCCCCCTTCCTTCTGGTTTTGATGCTCACCACCACTACTGAAATAGGAGCAGACTTGGTGTGGGCAGCAATACATTATCCGCCAGCGCTAGCCGCTATCTCCACCACAGCCCCCTCTCTCCCAAAGTTGTATGCAAAAAACTGCTCCGCCAGATTGCCTTGCATACCAGATATACCGTTAACCATCAGACCCATACGTTTTGACCTTCCCATCACCAATGACGTGGTCATTTTTTCCACTAATAGTAACCCCTCGTGTCACCGGGGATCCTGCGTTAGCTTCCTGCCCCTCCTTGTAAAATGGTACAATACCTCCCTGACGGTGAGGTTGTCTGTCCCATCCCTGCATTCGCCTGGATGTTTTAAAGCTGGCACACTTAGCGGCGGAGTCATCACTTTTAACTCAACCTGCAAACCCCGAGCAGCCATGCACACCCGTCCCGATTTCCCCACATGCCCATACCGTGTGTCCCCAAGCCGAAAAAGACAGATGGTGGACCTGTCACAACTTTCATGGCAGCCCTGTACTGTCGACGGCGTGGGAGTGACTCATCTAAACATGTCTTGGTGGTCCCGGTTCTCTCCTCCATCCGGTAGTAACAACATATTCGCGTTGACCTGGTGGGAGTCCTACCTGAGAGTGAACAACAAGTGGGCAATAAGCTTCCCCTTCCCCCTTAATGAAAATTGGTTGTGCCTCTCCACCGGAGCCTGCATGGACTTAAGACCCATGCTCGCTATTAACGCTTCTGCCTCTAATGGAACCACCAATGTCACCCTTAATTCTGAGGCTGCATGCGTAAAACCGCCCTACTTATGGGTATTCTCTGCTGACATCTCCTTTAAGTGCAGTAACCAACCATGCTTTACAGGGAACTGCTGGAATGGGTCTTTCCCGTATGCTATGTTGGCTCTTCGACCCCCACTGATGTGGGTTCCCTTTAACGAATCTGTTTGGGTTCATCCCGTCTATCAGCAGGACCAACTACCCATGCTCAGACGTAAGAGAGATTTTGGGATCACAGCGGCCCTGACAGCACTGTTCGTGACTCTGACTGCGACGGCTGTGACGGCTGCCGTTGCTCTGACCCAGTCTACGCTGACGGCTCAGGCCTTTACCAATCTTACGGACACCACCTCCCTGGCGCTGAGGGAGCAACAAGAAGTCAACCTCCTCCAGCACAACGCCATAATGGCGTTACAGCAGCAGATCGACCTAATCGCTCAGGAAGTCCAGGGACTCTGGGAGGTGGCTAACAATTTATGTGACGCCAGATGGGCATTCACCCAGTTGTGCGTTACCCCCATCCAGGTCAACCGTTCGGCTTACAGGCAATTTCAGGATTATGTTCTCACCACCTATAATTCTTCCTTTTGGAACGCTAGCGTGCGCCTGGATATGACTATCCGGCAGCTAGATCAGATAGAGGTGCCTATACTTACAGCCTCCTTTTTTGATGATGTCCTAAGCCAGATAGGCTCCTTCTTCAAACCTTCGTCACTTCTTGCGTATGGGATCATTCTTGCTCTTGTGATTGTCACTCTCGTGACTCTTAGGTGCCTGCGGTCGATAAGGGCGACCCAAAAGACACATATGACATTGATGATGTTGCTGGCCCAGAGTCAAGGGGATTCCACACCTAGCGTTTTCTGGGCTCAGGCTAGAAAGGCACGGCTCCTTTAACCAGTACGTGGCTGCCCTCGCCATTATTCTTACGGATGTTCTAGTATTATTACGTACGTCTCCTTCCCCGTCGCGGCTGCGAACTTAGACTAGAAGGACCCCACGCTTAAGGCGTGTTCCCATTGATAATTAGAAAATAGTAATTAGTGATTGTAGTGAACGGGGATTATGGTTGGTAATTAGTAATTACGCGGTTCCTCAAATGTCACTCGGCTGACCCCTCCGTGTCTCCCCCAAGATATAAGCTTTAAGAGTTGAGTGGGCAAGCCAACGACGGGTAAGACGGGAGAAGTTCTCCTGATCAACCTAAGACAGGCTCTACTCCGAGGGTCCTCTAGGGAGTGAGAGTTATGGCATTGAGATGCGAGACCAAGGGTACTGCAGTGCCATCCGCCTCGAGGGTTGAGGGGAAGGCAGGAATGAATGTCTATATGCATCCAGGTTCGGTTCACAAAAGCCTGGCCCTGCGAAAAAATGAACCACTCACCTTGAGCATGGTCCTGGCGCAAGGATATGTACGAGACAAGGTGATGCACAGCAGGGTATAGACCTCTACATTCTCTCATGCCTCGGCCTGCGAAATAGGCCCACTCCCAGACACCTCACATGGACCCACAGACCACACTATCTTAATAAATAAAGAAGGGGGAGATGTTGGGAGCGCGACCGAGTGATATGAGGCCTGTGGTGAGGAGTGAAGCCTGAGCTAGATTGCCCCTCCCGTCGACCGAGTGATATGAGGCCTGTGGTGAGGAGTGAAGCCTGAGCTAGATTGCCCCTCCCGTCGACCGAGTGATATGAGGCCTGTGGTGAGGAGTGAAGCCTGAGCTAGATTACCCCTCCCATCGAGTATGCCAAGATGGCGCCCATTTCCTGCTCCCTAGCTAGTAAACAACACGCCCTGTAAGCTAGTCTGCCCAGCAACAGCTGACGCTGGCCAATCAGCTCGTCTTGCCTACTTTGATGTGATTGGTCGATGTGTCCATATATATGCTGACACCACCCCTGGGGCGAGAACACACACACCAAGAAGAGGGACTGCTGAGAGAAGCACACAAGGAGCCGTAGGGAACGGACCAGAGGAGGCTTCCCTCAGGCGGGATCCGAGATCCCGGAACAGGGCGTACGGAGAGAGAAAATAAATCAGAGGCTATCCGCCGACTACTCGTGTCGTGTGTTTTTTCCTGCCGGCCGGGATCGACACCGACAGGGTGGTGTGAATCGGATGGTCTGAATTAGGATAGGCAGTGAGTGGCAATGTAGGATGCAGAAAAGCACCGCGGGGTGGTCAGCATGGGGAGGTCAGGGAACATGAAATGGCAATGTAGGATTGGTTTCTGAAAAACATCGCGGGATGGTGCCCATTGTACGGGTGTGTAACATTACATTCACTAGTAGGAGTGAGAAAAACATCGCGGAGTGGTGCGCATTGTATGGGTGTGTGTTACATTATATTCACTAGTAGGATTGAGAAAAACATCACGGGGTGGTGCGCATTGTATGGGTGTGTGTTACATTACATTCACTAGTGGGAGTGAGAAAAACATCACGGGGTGGTGCACATTTTATGGGTGTGTGTAACATTACATTCCTTAGTAGGAGTGAGAAAAACATCACCGGGTGGTGCGCATTGTATGGGTGTGTGTTACATTACATTCACTAGTAGGAGTGAGAAAAACATCACGGAGTGGTGTGAATCAGAGGGTCTGAATTAGGATAGGAAGTTGGTGGCAATGTAGGATGGAGAAAAGCACCGCGGGTGCGTCAGCATGGGGAGGTCAGGGAACATGCAGTGGCAATGTAGGATAGGTTTCTGAAAAACGTCGCAGGGTGGTGCGCATTGTACGGGTGTGTGTTACATTACATTCACTAGTAGGTGTGAGAAAAACATTACGGGGTGGTGTGAATCGGAGTGTCTGAGTTAGGATAGGAAGTGAGTGGCAATGTAGAATGGAGAAAAGCACCGCGGGGTGGTCAGCATGGGGAGGTCAGGGAACATGCAGTGGCAATGTAGGATAGGTTTCTGAAAAACATCGCGGGGTGGTGCGCATTGTATGGGTGTGTGTTACATTACATTCACTAGTAGGAGTGAGAAAAAACATCACGGGGTGGTGGGCATTGTATGGGTGTGCGTTACATTATATTCACTAGTAGGAATGAGAAAAAAATCACGGGGTGGTGCACATTGTATGGGTGTGTGTTACATTACATTCACATGTAGGTGTGAGAAAAACATCACGGGGTGGTGTCAATCGGAGGGTCTGAGTTAGGATAGGCAGTGAGTGGCAATGTAGGATGGAGAAAAGCACCGCGGGGTGGTCAGCATGTGGAGGTCAGGGAACATGCAGTGGCAATGTAGGATAGGTTTCTGAAAAACATCGCGGGGTGGTGCGCATTGTATGGGTGTGTGTTACATTACATTCACTAAGAGGAGTGATAAAAACATCACGGGGTGGTGTGAATCGGAGGATCTGAATTAGTATAGGCAATGAGTGGCAATGTAGGATGGAGAAAAGCACCGCGGGGTGGTCAGCATGGGGAGGTTAGGGAACATGCAGTGGCAATGTAGGATATGTTTCTGAAAAACATCGCGGGGTGGTGCGCATTGTATGGGTTTGTGTTACATTACATTCACTAGTAGGAGTGAGAAAAACATCACGGGGATGTGTGAATCAGAGGGTCTGAATTAGGATAGGCAGTGAGTGGCAATGTAGGATGGAGAAAAGCACCGCGGGGTGGTCAGCAAGGGGAGGTCAGGGAACATGCAGTGGCAATGTAGGATAGGTTTCTGAAAAACATCGCGGGGTGGTGCGCATTGTACGGGTGTATAACATTACATTCACTAGTAGAAGTGAGAAAAACATCGCGTGGTGGTGCGCATTGTATGGGTGTGTGTTACATTACATTCACTAGTAGGAGAGAGAAAACATCACGGGGTGGTGCGCATTGTATGGGTGTGTGTTACATTACATTCACTAGTAGGAGTGAGAAAAACATCACGGGGTGGTGTGAATCGGAGGGTCTGAATTAGGATAGGCAGTGAGTGGCAATGTAGGATGGAGAAAACCCCGCGGGGTGGTCAGCATGGGGAGGTCAGGGAACAAGCAGTGGCAATGTACGCTAGGTTTGTGAAAAACATCGCGGG